GATATATAGTTTCAAGAATCTTAATAAAGTACTAGCATAACTGCTTAAGGTTAAAAAAAAAAAAAAAAAAAAAAAATACTAAATCTATATATTTTTCTGCCAATTCTATATAATATTTAAATGTTTCAAAAATATCTGCTGCAAGTTTAGCATTAAAATTATATTCATTAAAAGGTCTTTTACTACTTGTTATTTCTATTATAGTAACTCCAAATTTATAAATATCTGCTATCTTAAAATATAAGATCCAGAAAATGTTAATGACAATTGAATTAAAGACACTCTAGACCTTTATTTAAAATATATTACTATTTAAATATAACAAATCTGTTATTAAATAATCTAATGTTCTAATTATGATAAAACTGTTTTAATAATCTAACTGTTACAAAAATATTCTAATAGTCTAACTGTTCTAATAATCTAGTTATTATAAAAATATTCTAATAGTTTAACTATTCTAATAGTCTAATAATCTAATTATTATAGTCTAACTGTTATGTTCTAAAAGTCTAACTGATATAAAAATACTCTAACAGTTATTATAATTTTTTTTTAATAGTCTAACTGTACTAATAGTTAGAACTATTTATGCAAATCAATATATGATTTAGTAAATTCAAGTTTTATATAAATTTAGATGAATTATTTGAATTAATTCAAATTCAAATTAAATAAGTTTGAATTTAAAAATTAAATTTAATTCTAATCTCTAGTATAGATAAAGATGATTCTGATGCTGAAGATGTGATGAATGACATAATAGCAGTAGATAATTTATTAGAATGAGCAAAAAAAACTTTTTTAAATTATAATGTAAATTTTTTTTTTATTAAAAATGTTTTTTTTTAAATAAATTATATATATTTTTTTAAATAAATAATATATTTTTAATAAATAAATTACATATTTTTTATTAAATATTTTTATTAAATAATTAATTTATATAAAATACTTAAAATTTTTATAATAAATCTCAAAATTATTATAATTATTTTATTATATAGTAAATTAGCAATAAATTTAATATACAAATTCATAATTTTGATTGGCTAACCAATATATATAATCATCAGTTCTGAGTTAACTAAGGTTTTTCTTATTTAGAATATTTTTATCTGTAATTTTTAAAGTCTAGTTCAGTCTGCATTTAGAATTAAAATTTTTTTGCCAATTTAGCTTAGCCTGGCTTGCAAAATTTCTTATATAATTTTGCAAAATTTTAGACTTAGTCTAACTCACAATTATAAAATTTTGCTTTAAACCTAACTTAGTCTACAAATTTTTATAGGTCAAGCTGAACTAGATCAGACTGTAAAACCCAATATAGGCCTTTAGAAGAGACATCCCAAGTGCTACAATCATATAAATAATTATACAGTGCAAACAACCTAGTTCTAACAAATAAATTTAACTAAATTCAAAATACTAATTCTTGTTTACAAAAAACAATTTCTGAAAAATCTCTTCATAAAACATTAAAACTATTCAAACTAAACATTTTGGTGGTCTTAAATTTTTTTTAAAATTGGGTTTAATAAAATAGTAGAGAATTAAAATCAAGGTAGTTTTATAATTAAACAAGCAATTTGGCCACTCTACATATATTATTAAAGCAAGCAATTTGGCTACTCTATATATATTAAATTTGGCTATTTTATGTATATTAAATTTGGCCACCCTATATATATTAAATTTGGCTATTCTATGTATACTAAATTTGGCCACCCTATATATACTAAATTTGACCATCTACTAAAACTTGGTCATCTTTGTATATATAGTTAAAATATATAATTTGGTCATCTTTGTATATATAAGTATACTATTAAAACAAGAAAATTGCTATCTATAATAATAAGCAACATTAAACTAACAAATTTTAATACTAAACTAATACAATTATGTGAAAACTTATTTGAATTATCAATTTCACATTAAAGATGTGATTGAAGGCATCTGATTAGTGAAACATTAGTCCAATATTTAAATCAAATCGTTTACAGTTCAGGTCAATACCATTATTGAACTTTAATAAGATTTGTAAAACCTAGCATCGTAGACTTATATGTAGTTAATAATTTGAGCTTCAAATACATATTATTTATTGTTTAAAATTATATATGTACATATATATGTATATTTAAAAAGCTTAGAAAAAAAGAGATAAGCTATATATATGTAGTGTTTAGAGCAAAATCTAAAAAAAGAAATTATAACAATATATTTAATTACTTTTTTTAGATTTTGCTCAAAACACAACCAAGGTAAGTAATTTATAAATAATAAATTTGTTATACAAAAAAAACATCAACTAATCAACTTCAATTGAACTTAAAGCAAATTTAGGAATTCAATGATATGAGCAGTATTTTTTAACAGCAAATTTTGCTGCTTTACCTTTTAAACCTTTTTGATATACATTTATATAGCAAAAGACTTTTTTTGCATATTGGTAAATAGTTGGAAGTAAGACAAAATTAAGAACTAATGGAATGGTTTTTTGTAATTCTTTTTATAAGTAATTACAATTTGCCTAGCTATATTTTTTAGCAGCACCTCAGAAGTTTTCAATATAATTGAGTTTACAATAAAATTTGAGATAAAACATAATTTGATGTCCAGCCACAATAATAGTTTCCTCCAACTGCCCTTTTTGTGCCAGAAAATCTGGCTGTTGACCTATTAATTTTCATGTTTTTTGTAATTTTAATTCTTTTTCTGGCCACAATCTTCTTTTACTTAAAACTTGTTTTAATCCTTTAGCCTTTCCACATAATTCAGAGATGTGATAATTCAATAAAAATATTATATTCTGATCATTTTTTATTTCTTCACGAAAATATGATATGCTGTGCATTTTTTCTTGTTTTCTAGCAAAACTAAGGTTCATATTCTTTGCAACAAGTACATCAGATGCATAAGTAGTATAACTTTTTGCATTGTCAAATGCAAATAATGCTTAACATCTTAGGAAACAGACTTCAAATATAGGAATAGCATGGTTGGATACTTGTTCAATCAAATCTTCGGATTTTTATCATCCATCATTGTTTTTGCCAGAGCATATAATAATACAAGCTTCTCTAGAAAGTGTATCTGATGGTTGCATTTCTTTAGGAAGCAAAAGTCAGCCACAAACATCTGTAAGAAATTCACTGACATGAATTGAACATTCTTTGCCTTTTTTCTTAAAGGTTGTTCCCCTTCAGGAATCCAGAGACTTCGACTTCTATTATAAGCTAAAAAGATGTATTTATCATATATAATAAGAATAAGTGACTATATACTACTATCTGGCCAGGTTTTCACTTCTATATTCTTATCTGAAAATACAGACATTCTATGTTCAAGCTCATTTATTGTTCTAAAAATATTTTTTGATAGGCTACTATGTCTTCTCTTTCATATTCATCAATGTAAATATCTTTTTTTACTCTTTCATATATATAACCAAGCTCTTTCAGATAAATTTTTGCAGTATTAAGAGAAATGGTTAGTGGTGGTGCAAATCTGAGCCCTGGTAAAATAACTTTATTCATCTGTAGTATAACCATATATGAAGTAATATTTTACTTATTTTCTTAAATATACAACTTGATTTAAAAAAGAATATCTTTGTCCCAAAGAAAGCTTCATGTTTTAGTATGGTGTTTTCAGTATATATAAAGAATTTGATGGGTTATAATATACTTATATGACCAAGAACAAATACATCTAGCATGGTATACCCATTTTTCTGCCACATTTGCAACTATCTTACTTGCTTTCATTTTCTGATGATTGTATTTTATAAGTTAAAAATAAAAGCAAATACTATTAAGACATCTAAACTTCACTATTTATATTCTTATTTTTAATATTTAGTGTTATGTTTTTAAGTGTGGTTTGGATTTTTTTATACTAATTAGAGGTTTCAATCTCATCTTCTGATAGCCCTTCAGTATCATCTTTATTGACTTCATCCAGCCATCTATCATTAGACAATTCTATCTCAATATCTTCTTCAGCAGTCTTGTCTTGATTCCAAAGAATAAACAATGTAGACATTCTTTTTGCTGCTTCACGCTGTTGCTGTCTTTTTTTTTTTTAATATAGATAGAGTTTTCTAAGTAGCATGGCCTATAGGATTTATTAAAATTACTTTCATGATAAAAGATATTTGCTGTATTTAAAAGTGTTTTTGCAAAACCTTGAGCATTATTATTCTTAATCTCAATTAACTCATTATGAGCAAAAAGACTTTCATTATCATAATTTTTTAGTACATTATTATCACTATAATAATTGTTTGTTGCAGTTTGAAGTCTTTTTATAATACTTGTGGCATTGTTATTCTCAACCACCTCATCATAAGAAAAGTTATCAGAATTTTCTGCTTCAGAATTATTAACATTAATATTATGCTTATGTGCCTTTGCCTTATAAGCTTGCTTTAATTTTTTTTTATTGTTTGTTAGGTGCAGTATATTATTACTAACAAATCAATTGCTTAAGATAGTTTTAATTTTTATATGAAATTACTTTATTGCAGAGAAACTCAAGAAGTCAATTTTGACCAGATTGTTAATAATTATTTATTTATATTACAGTTATTTTTGAACCTTTAGATATGTCATTAGACAATTCTATAAATTTAATATAGCAGGACTTTGAATGGCATAATATGAAGGGGAGGTTTTTTCTCTTAAATCTTTTTCTTTTTTTATAAATTTAAAGATAGTTCTGAACATGCTTAATATAACCTTATTCAGGATTTTGTTTATTTTAGTTTATTTTTTTTTTGTTATTTGATTATGGTTTAAATTATTTTACAGTTTAAGTTAGATTCTAGATATTTCAGTAGTCATGTTATATATCAAAGTTACCAGCATAACTAACACATTAGAAAGTGATTGAAAAATAACTGTAATGCATTTTTTTCAAGCATTTCAAGAGTTGTAATTAAATAAATAAACTAATATAAAGAAAAAGATCAAATATTGGTATTTACAAAAGGAGGTAAATGTGCAATAGAATTTTAATATTTAAAGTACATTTATAAATTTTCTGATATGCTTGAAATTATATTATTGTTTATAGCAATTTCAAAAAAAATAGTTTATTATTTAATGCCTGTAGAGGTGTGAGCAAATCATTTCAATAATATTCTAATAACATTCTAATTATGTTATGACTTAAGCCATAATTAGCTAAAGCTTATGTTGTAACTAGTTACAGCAATTATTAGAATGATTCATCTGCACCTCTAGTCTAGTAACTGCTTTGTATTCAATTTAATTTGCCAAAAGTAATATTGATGCGTTATATATGCAAAAATAAGATATTGGAAATTTAAGTTTATAACTTATTGGCCTTAGCTCTTATAAGCAAATACTTGTTATATATTACTGATTAAATATTTTCAGGAACTAGATCTAGTAAGTTGTAAACTCAAATTCTTGAATTCTCATTCTCTTAGCAATATTTATATTTTTGTATCATTATTATACATATAAAATAAATTTGGCATATATAATAAAAATATCAAATTTGGCTATATATCGATATAATGAAAATATTAAATTTGGTCATAGATAATGAAAATATTAAATTTGGCCACATATAATGAAAATATCAAATTTGGCCATATATAATAAAAATATTGAATTTGGTTATATTATATAAGATTTCAAATTTGGCTGCTAGAAAATTTTATTTATTAAGACTAGGTTTGTTTGTATTATACAATTTTTTTTTTTTTTTTTTAACCTTAGGCAGTTACACTAGTACTTTATTAAGATTCTAAAAACTATAAAATTACATAGAAATTCCTAATATCTAAGTCCAGCATCACCCGGCCACCTTTATGGTACCTAAGTGCAA